CATGTAAGATAAGCCTGCACTCGTAAATAAAAGCGACCTTGCAACATGCGAATGGGATGACGTGATGAAGCATTAAAACAGGAAAGGGACTTGGCAGCAAATCCCTCAGGAAATGTCTTCAGTTCCCTGTAGGTATACTGTATGTAAACACACAGGCACACACGCTCACAGCTATTTATAACAGCAATATGGCACCAATAAACAGCATGATGTTTACATGGAGTAAAACAAATTGGTAACTGAAAGATATAAATACATTAATATTAATATTCATGTATTTGGCTTTACCAGTAATCACCTGACAATTTAATATACAGGCAGAGAAATACTCTACACCCAATATACTACAATTTTCAGATTTCCACTGGAAGTTCTGCATTGGGTTTATGATGCAAAGAAAAATCAGCTCTAAATGAAGACAAATGATATGCAAATATTGTAATTCAACAAGATAATCTTTTTGTAAATCAGACATATGATATAAATCAAACTTTTCCCATTCAAATGCTGGCGGCCTGGCGCTGCCCTTTTCCAACACTTTGGTAGTTTTTAAGTGATACTGCAGTGCTGATCCATGCCTTGTTGAACCACATCGTTAAAGTGTCAGTTAACCCAGTTTTCTCCAATGGGTGTACCCCTAGGGGAGAGATCTTGAACTGCAGGCCCGGGGACCATTTCTGGTGCTTCAACCCTCTCCCTCTCTTCCGTGACATCATGTCAAAAATATAATATGAGCCACAAGATTATTATTATTTCTCGAAGCTGCAGTAGGTAACTTTTATTCCAACCACAAAGGAGAAACTACAGTGGCTGTAAAATCTACGAAATATGGGAACGCCCCTATCTAGAGCCAGTGTTTTGTTTGTCCCTTCTGGGCTACTGTAGAAACATGACGGTTCAATGTGACTGCCTCCATGGAAGGCGACCAGTAGCATCTGTAGATAAAAAGCAGCTCATTCTAGGCATTCATACACTTATGAAAACATACCTGTGAATATTATATACAATTTCTGACCAAAGATCCTCCTATACCAGGGGTCAGCAACCTTTACTCTAAAAAGAGCCATTTTTGGTCCCAAAAAAAAAAAGTCTGTCTGCAGCCGCAACACATATTTGATCCTTAATTAGAATTCTAATATATACCTTTAATGGATATTGAAAAGCCAGCAGCAACAAATCTATTAACATCTGTATTTTCTCCAAGACTTTGGGGCAAAAGAACCACATGTTGCCAACCCATGTTGGACATTGGACCTTTTTAAATTACAAAAATCCCAAAAATGTATTTGTGGTTGAAACATGGCAGCATTACAGATGAAAACAGCCATCAAAAGCAAACAGACTCACTGCGGTTGCATCCAGGCCACAGAGAATGACAGAGATCCTCAGTGAAGTTTTTTACTAAAGTATCAAAATCTTCAATGTGACTTCAGTGCCGTCTTACTGTTGTTATACTAATGCCATGAATTTAGTGATTGATACCAAACATTTGAAAAAAGTGTTTTTTCTTAATAAATCAGACACTGATGTTGCTGAGCTGTATTGTACCTCTTTATATAGGCTTTTTCTAGAGCACTTTATTCAGCCATTTTCTTCATACAATATTTCAGTAAAGAAAGATTAAATAAAAGAAACCCCAAAAATATCAAAACACAAGACAAAAATGACAGCAGTTGATAGCAGTATATTGTTCCTGATAGATATGTGATATTGAGGGAAAAAATTGGCTTTTTCTGTACCAAAAATGTTTTGCACTGATCAGGGGATACTTGGATGGATATTTCAAATGGGTACATTACTGAAAAAAGTGTGAGAGTTAACCAAACACAAAAATGATTGTGAGAAATTGTGTTCATTAAAGGCTGCTGAAAACAGAAATATTAAAGAAGCAACAATATTAAATTGCTTTATCGCCCATAGACAAATGACCACCATCAGGTAGGAGATTTTATTACTTCTGAACATAACCTGAAAGCTCCAGTTTGACTTCAACTCTCCATTAGATCTATTTCTTCACAGAAGGTGAAAACTATTGAGGCAAAAATAGTAAAACTCTGTAGGATAAACATTTATTTACTTCCACATCTGCGTGTAGCACTACAGTCACACTCCATTAACATGGGGAGGGGTACTGCACTGAGGCCCACACGTGAACATGAACATGTATGTCGACACGAACAGACCAGCATAAACATGTGAGGATGCACACTGAGCCGCTCCCCACCGTTGCTCCTCCTCTCCCTGACAGCTACAAGCCCTCCAGAGAGGAGCGTTCCAATCTGTCAGTTACTCCTTGGCTCTTTTATTGAGCACTGTGTTCGCTATCACAGTCAATTCTCACTAATGTGTCAAGTTGTTGGAGGGGAAATTGGGTCGTAATCCTGGCAATGATTTGATGTCTGCGTGTTATGATGTTCTCTGTGTTTCTGTGCGTGTGATTCATTTCCCTTGCAGCAACTACAAGATGAGGAAACATGAAATCCTCTTATGTGTCAACTTTAATATTATTGACCAGGGGATGGGAGTTTGCACCTTGCGCCTTTCCAGTTTTTCTTTCTGTTGGCAGAAATTCCAATGACACAAATGAAATTGTACCCACACTACGCTAATTACACACAGGACTGACTGTGGAGTATTTTATTGCTCTGTTGTTGCAGGCTGGTGGAAGGGCTGCATGGCTTTCAATTGGAACTTCTTTTTAGTCCCAAAGCTGTTGGCTGCCACCTTTTTAAATTAAGTTTTTTCTACATTGTCCTGTTTGTGAACCCTCAAAGTCAAATTTATTTTACATAATGAACAGTTCTCTTTGGGATTATTGTGGCGTAAAATGCTGATTTCACTGCAACAAATTGGGATGCACAGCGATGAAAATTGCTATCGTTTGCAACGACTACTCTTATCATAGGAACAGAGGCTCAAACCATGATTAGCTAATATGAGCCTTTGATAGTCTGAGTTAGACAAATTAAGTGAATATCTTTCATAAGTTACTGTCTTTTTAGCGCAAAACGACTCTTTGTTTTTCCGCAGTAGCGGGAGAGGAACAAAGAATTTGTTGGTTTTACGTCCATTTTGGGATTCATGTGTGAGTGACAGAATGTTAGGGGGATGTTTTCATTCCACAAGATACCAGGACTGTTTCAGTTGTCCTATGACATCAGTTCACTCCAGAGATCTTGCTAATGCCAGTATCTGATGAGTTAACCTGCTATCCTCATCTCCATCCCCTAGTAGCAGAGAGAGTTGTATATGTCACTCATCTGATCCTTTATCTGACTGAGGTCTGTGCAAGTTAATATCTTTTCAGACGGGGAGCGACTGTCCACCTGTGTTCCCGCTCAGATCTGCTTGGTGTCACTGCGCTCTTCACGTGAATAGCATTGGCGCCAGGCGCTCTACGCGTGGTACCCATGGAAACAGCTTCTGTGCACTACTGACAATTGGTGGCAATCCTTTTCAAAGGCAAACCAGAGACTGTTTTTGTTGAAAGTGTAAATTAACTAAATTAGCATATTCATAACTTAATAGCCTAGCTTAAATTAAAAGTTACCTGATGCATCCAGTCTGTGTCTATGCTCAGCCATGTGAATGCCTTCCTGTTAGTATCCTGAGGGGTTTGACTAATGTGTGTTTAATGAAGTGTTTAAAGAACAGTTCTCTAGTTCAGGAATCCCACAAACAGCAAGGATCAGTCTCTCATCCATTGTAGTCATGTAGAAAAAAAGTTCAATTCAACTCTGGCAAGCAAGACTGCAACAGTTTTACAGGCTCGCACACGTTTGTTGCTCCACCTGTCAGGTAGTACGCACCCAGTGGTGTAGTGCAGGGAATACACAGGTATACCCACTTACCTTTCAGTTGACATTGGATATACACCATACAGTATATATAATAGGCAGAGCTTTTGGTCTGTAAAGTGAAGCCAACACAGGTGTCTTAAACCTGCAGTCTATGTAAAAGCCAGCAGGGGGCAGCTCCATTGGCTGCAATACAAAAAAAAATATTCCATGCACTGTAGAAATGAGCCGACTTCTGACTTGATTTATGAGCTCAGTAAACGGTTTCCTAATGAGTTTATGGTCTCAATCTCTAGTTTCAGTCTTCTTCCATACAGTATGATGTTCATTTAGTAAATGATGGTCCCATTTACAGTAAAATAGACCATAAAGCAGGGTATGCTTTAGGGCGGGGCTACCTTGTGATTGACAGCTCAACACAAACTCCGATCAAACTGTCAAACTAGGCAGTGCTGATCAGATATGGATCCAGATTCTGTGACTGTGTTGACTATTTCTCTCCTAAAACCGTTTTACAAACATATTTTAGTGTACTGTTTATCTGGAATATGAGATTGTGTGTGACCAGGTGAGCTGCCATTGTTTCCTGCTACGGAAAACTGCGCAGTAGTACGTCACCTCCATTGGCTCCAACACACTGGGGTCATGGGGACCATCATAACGCCATAAAATGGTACTCCACAAACCAATGGGTAATGTCACAAAAGGCTTACACTTGGTATAGCCACTTCTTAATCCCCTCTGATGTCCAGTGTTTTATACTTTACTGAACGGGTGGCTTAAAAAAAAATTGGGGGCATAAATTAGTATACCACACGCTTCTCCTGGCACCACTACACTACTGTCAGCGCCTCCCAACCTGCCCGCTCGCCTCTCATTGAAAATTATTTATGAGGCACGTCAATCGCTCCCCGTTTGAAAAGACCTTTAGAATATATGGCCCCAACACGGCAGTTGCCTCACTGTGCTGTATATTGATCAATCCATGGCGCTGTCTGTGGACCGATTTGTCATATGTGCGCCTTTGGATGTGAAAGTGTGACTTTGATGCTGTTGTCATGTTATGTTTAATTAATGGGCCATTCTTAATAAAGTATTTAGAACTGCATTCTGAAACTGTACATTAAATATGATTGTATCCAAAATAAAGATCTCAGCCTCACAGACTTTCAATCTCTAACATTCTCTTTCCTTTTGTTGCAG